GTCCTTGAGCAATGTACTAATAGTCTTATCTTAATTAGAGTGTAAGAGAACAATTTAAATCTCACTTTACATCTGTTACTTTGTTCTCTGCCGTAGCTTCACTTGGTCTTATTGGAAGATAATAGGGTCCAAGAAACTTTACCCTGGGGCAGCCTAAAACTGAAGAAAGTATTAGAATGTTCTACGTGTAGCCATGCTTACACACTCATGATAGAGCTCCTTATAATTAGACCCAGTAGGGATTAGAAACAATAACTAATAATCCAGTTGAATGTTAGCAGCCATCTGCCTCCTGTCCGTTGTTGCTAGCGTCACCGGACCTGAGCTATGGAGATGTCATAAATGAAATCAGGACACTTCCCTGCCGTATTGTGACAGCTAAGCACCGCTAAGTAACTAACCCGGCATCTAGCACATACAGTTTTGATGCCGTGGGCTAAGGCGTGGCTTATGAAGTCGTTGAGATGGAGTGGGGACAATGGGAGTTGTCACCATGCCACTCAGAGTGGCACAAGGTTTTAAATGATTAATTATTGCTGAAATTTCAATATAAGGTTTTCAAGTTGCAGTTTCCCCACACAAAACCAAAACTCCACCGAGAGAGAGAGAGAGAGAGAGAGAGAGAGAGAGAGAGAGACTGCTGGGCAGAGTTGGCATGGGCTGTCCTAACACTCTGTATTGGAGTCCCTTCCTTTAGAGGGAGGTCCAGCAATGATCTCTTGGCACTCACTTGGTCTCTGGGTCATTGTGGTTCAGTTTGCTGTATGAAGTCCAGAGTCGTAATTGCCCTGTGCTCACAGCAGATTAGCTGAGTCATTGGGGCTGTGCAAGTATACAAAGAGAGAGTGGGGAGGGACTCATACTCACTCTGCACTGCCTCTCCCAAAGGCTCTGGATGCTACAGTGTGCAGAGTGCCATAGATCTGATGCTTGAAGACTGCTCAAGGAGCTAGCATTGAGCCCTGGTGGACAGCAGAACGTGCTGGGATAATCCTGTCCAGGAAAAGAAAGCAGGCGCTTCTACCCCCAAGGAAAGTAACAGCGCATTTTGGCCTCTCCCTGCTGCAGTCAGGTAGGGGGCTGATTGTCAAGTTCCCTGGACAAGTCAGTCATCTTTCCTGTTGCCCCCGCTTGCTGCTCTCCTGATGACATCGTGCAAAATTGTTCTCATTTGCTTCTGTTCAGCTGGGTGTGGTGCAGGGAGCTAGGGTCTGTGACAGAAGCCAAGATGGGTACACGCTCACCTTCTAGGTCTGTTGTGACTTTAGCCTCAGGCTGGGTGAACTGTTCATACCTGCCCTGTTGTCAGAGCACTTATTCCTGGTGTTCCCACAGTCCCTACACTTAGCCTACCTTCAATGGCAGGAGACACCTGACACATTGTGCACCTTCTCGGAGAATAAGGTTTCTGTCAGGGAGAAGGTGTCTTTGGATTAAAAAGAAAAAGAAAAAAGGAAAAAAGAAAGAAACCTGTACAACCTTCCTTCCTTCCTTCCTTCCTTTTCCCAATCTTTTCTTAGTCCCCTAAAGTCAGAGGGGCCCTGTCTGTGGCCATTCCTGACCTGTTTTAATTCAAGCAATGCTAGTCTCACCACCTGACTGATAGTGATCATTGACAAGGCACCTAGGGACAGGCATCCAGGGTATGGAAAGGAAACCTTCAGCCTGACAGGCAGGGGATGGGCCCTCCCTCCCCAGCATCCCCATGCCGCCCCCCGGTGGGGATGGGCAAAGCTTGCTTCTGGTACTCTGAGACTCCACAAACTTGTCACAGAGACTCTGAGCCACACAGAACCGAAGAGCTAAATGTGTGGGGAGCTCAAGTTTGTGTTCACAGGGTGTGACTTCTAAAGACAGCTGGAGTGAGGGCTAAGTGAACCTGTGGGTCTAGCTAATGGGGATTGGGTTGACTCTGGAGATCAGTGACGGTATCTGATGCAGGATCTGATCAGAGAGGAGCTGGCCATGGAGGGGCCTGAATCTGTGCAGCAGCAGAACCTAGTGATGGATGAGTGTCAAGGAAGAAATAGGTGACTCCAGGCCCGATGCTGGGCCTGGGGAGGTTGGTTGTAATATCATGCCAAACATAGTTAGTTTCCATGTGTGAGTTCCCATACACCAAGGGAAGCAGGTGCCCGGTACCTAGCTAGCCACAGTGCTGCAGAAGCCATAGTGCTAGCCCTCTGCACAGCAATATATTTAGGAAGGGCACCCACTTGCTCGATTACCAGATTTAAGGGATTCTTGGTAGAAGCATCCTGGGGCCCCTACCAACACCCTGAAAGAGCCTGACACACAGGCAGAGAGGGTGCTTTCCTGCCCCGATTTCTGCTGCCTACAGTTGTTTCATCTATGCACTGTCTGGTCCTATGTTGTGTCTTATGAAGCCTCCTCTGCTGCTGTCCTGAGGGCACTGTTCATGTTCCAGCCAACTTCTTCCAACACAGCCATGCCGGTTGCTCCCTGGGAAAAGGGAAGCAGAGGAGCCAGGCCACAGTCTGGGCTGAGTCTTCCTCATACTGGTTTGCAGAGGCCAAGTTATTTTCCTCCTCTCTGAGGACAAAAATGCACAGGAATCAAACAGATGGGGATTAGCACATAACTGGATTGTTGAGTTTCAACAGGCCATGAATAGCCGCAGAACTCGAGAAGTGGTTGCACTGGGCCCGGGGGAGGGTGGCCGAGAGAAACCAGGAAGGGTATGTGCACTCTATTTCAATAAAGCTGTAGGAAATGCACAGAGAGGATGTGGGTGGCCAAACATGAGCTTCCTGATCTGTTATTGCCAACTGGACTCCATTCTCCCGGACAGAAACTTTGACCTCTTGCTTCCCTTTGCGTATCACAAGGTCAGCCCTCTACAGAGACAGAGCAAGAAACCCAGTCAGCTCTAGTCTGAGACCCAGGCCCTGCTGTCAGGCCCACTCAGTGAGAAGTCCCTCACCTCCCAGGGATCTGGGTGTACAGAAAGCCTCCCTGGACAATTCAGGAACCAAAGACTCCTCAAAGGCCCCAGGCCTCAGAACTCATGTACCCCAAGGGCACATCCAGGGCTGTGCCAAAGTCACCAGGCTCATTTCCCCAGAATAGTTCATGGTTTTTATGACATAGTGTTCGTTTGGTGGATTTTCCTGTCTTGTTGGGTTCCAAGTTTTCTATACGTAATTTTAGGATTGTTGACCTAAATATAAAAATCATCAGCCAAACATATGGTCCATGTCCACTGTCCTGGGTCCTAGGGAGACTGAGGCAGGAAGGTGGCTGGAGCTCCAGGGTTTGTGGCCAGCCTGAGGATCACAGTCAGAGCCCTCATCAAGAGAATTTAAAAACAAAACAAAACAAAAAAAAACAAAACAGAGTCTCCGCAGGCTACTATTTGTTTAAAACAGTGGAGCACAGCACCAGGAACACATAAATCACAAACCATGCACATAGCCAAAGATGCTGGAACGAAGAGATGTTTTTAAAGACAGAATAAGGAATGTGGGACTGAGAAAACAGCAGACGAGTTCTGGGCGAGTGAGGTTAAGAATGTGGATTGTAGCCACAGCAATTAAACAAAACAATAAAAAAATAGAAGAAACTAAAAGAGACACCACCCTTGGCCACGTGATCTGTAAGGACAGTGGCCTCAGTCTGAGATTGAGTGCACGGTTACAGTACTAACACCTCGAAGAAGCACTCCTATGTAAGGCTGTGGTGGCCAAGTGCAAGCCCAGAGTGTGCCTGTCTTTTGTGACAGCTACTGTCAAATAATCAAGCAGAAGAACCTTCCTCACAAACTCGGGGGTTCTTGTAGGAAACACACAGCTGAGACAAAAAAACATGGCTTTCAGCCAGGTGACGGTGATGCATGCCTTAATCCCAGCACTCGGGAGACTGAGGCAGGCAGATCTCTGTGAGTGCAATGCCGGCCTGGTGTACAGAGTGAGTTCCAAGACAGCCACAGCTACACAGAGAAGGCCTGTCTCGAAACAAGGAGAAAAAGGAGAAGGAGGAGGAGGAGGAAGAGGAGGAGGAGGTGGAGGTGGAGGAGGAGGAGGAGGAGGAGGAGAAGAAGAAAGGAGAAGAAGAAGAAGAAGAAGAAGAAGAAGAAGAAGAAGAAGAAGAAGAAGAAGAAGAAGAAGAAGAAGAAGAAGAAGAAGAAGAAGAAGCATGGCTTTCATTCTGTCATCTCTGACATTTTTCTTATGGGACAAACATGAATAAAGTCAGGAGTCTATGGAGCAAGTGCCTGGGAAGAGCCCTTGGCAACTCGTATCTCTGGCCTGCCAGGCACCAAGTCCTGGCTAAGTCAGTCCTCTTGCCCCTTCATCTTCTAACGGAAATTTACCCAACCCGACCAGAAATTCAACCAGCACCCAGAGACAAACAGAAAAACTCCTTTTTTAAAAGTGCACATTGGTCTGCTAATGCTGGAGGAATTCAGCCTTGAAACAAATTTGTCACATTGTATATAGGATGTTGTAATGTAATCTTACACACGCTCTCATCTGCAGGTGGCCTTTAAGGTCCTGCCCCACTTAATATATTTCAGCAATTAGACAAGTGTTGAAGAAACTGAAGGCTTTTGGTTATCTCTCTGCTGCCTTTTTTTTTTTTTTTTTTTTTTGGCAATTGAGCTGATCGGCAAGCCTGAGGAACAAACATGGTTTCTGCTGCCTTAAACCAGACTTGAGCAACATTCAAGGTCATTACTTCAAGGCAGTTGTCAAGTGTTTGCTCCCTTCTGATGAGAGGAGGAGCCCCTGGTGAGCAAGTTTTAACACAGCTTCAACATGCCTAAGTTCCAACTAATTCACAACTGTAACAGTTTCTAGGAGGAACAGATGGTGAGGTGTCTTATAGTTAGGTTCCAGTAACACTGAGGCAGGGCCTTCAGTTCACATTATTTCTCTGTAACTTAACGCTTCCTAGGCAAGCCTATTAGTGAATCCCTTTTTGTTGCATTTAATTGATGTTAAGGCTTGTCATTTCTCTTCTCCCATTCAATCCCCCAGGAGTCATGTGGCTGGAACTTCTCCTGGCCTCAGTGCTGGGCCTTGTCATCTACTGGTTTGTCTCCCGGGACAAGGAGGAAACCTTACCACTTGAAGATGGCTGGTGGGGCCCAGGGTCGAAGCCCTCAGCCAGAGAAGATGAGAGCATCCGACCTTTCAAGGTGGAAACATCAGATGAGGAGATCAAGGTGAGATGCCCTTTTGTAGGCAGGAGCAAAAACCAGCAGGCATCCCTGCTGGGGTTTCTCTCTGATGTGGGTAAGAGTGTGGGTGGAAAGGAACTTGGGGTTCTTTAGTGACCCTTAATCTGCCCAGCCTTCATCCTCAAGGGGGGCGGGCATGAGTTTCTTTGTACACAACAGTCACAGGAGGCTGTGGTTTCCTTGGACCAGAGTCAGGACATGGTTGAAGACGGAGCTTTGGGAATGGACTCTGGAGGTTTTTTTGTTTTGGTTTGGTTGTTTTGTTTTTGTTTTTTTTGTTTTGTTTTGTTTTGTTTTGTTTTGTTTTGGTTTTTTGGTTTTTTTGTTTGTTTGTTTGTTTGTTTTGTTTTGTTTTGTTTTTTTTCGAGACAGGGTTTCTCTGTGTGGCTTTGGAGCCTGTCCTGGCACTCGCTCTGGAGACCAGGCTGGCCTCAAACTCACAAGAGATC